ATATATATATATAGTATATGTAAAATCAGCAGAAGCAGCACCAGCCATTCACAACAATGTACCTATACAATCTAAGTTACAATCTAACACAAATTGACATAGATTACAGCTGTGAGCAATGCTTTATGCAAAATAAAACTTGCATATGGCCACCACCGTGCTGTTTCACTGTCTCTGGCATGCACCCTGCTCCCAAGCTGTCACATATCAGGCAGCCCAGTTTCATCCCGCTCAGGAGATTAAAATGGACGGGGGAAACAGCGATGGGTTTTTTTTCCCTCAGAGAGGATTATTTCACATTTTGCAGGGTGCCATGCATATCTGCTCACTATATGGGCAGTGGTGGCTGAACGGTTAAGGCTCTGGGTTCCTGATCGGAAGGTCAGGAGTTCAAGCACCCGCACTGTCAAGCTGCTGCTGTTGGGCGCTTGAGCAAGGCCCTTAACCACATCTGCTCCAGGGGTGCTATATCATGGCTGACCCTGCGCTCTGACCCCAGGTTCCTAGCAAGCTGGGATATGCGAAAATCTGCATTTCATTGGCTCTGTACTTGTACTCTGCACAATGACAATAAAGTTGACTGCGAATCTAAAATTATGCTTCTAGCTTCTGAATGACTATACAACTCCCTCACAATAGCACAACTCCCTCACATCCATTAGCAGTTTCACTCCACTTAGTAGTAAAATCCCTCTAGTCTCAGACTAAGCAACCAACATTAATTAATACTAATCCTCCGGTTGAGAATATTTTAGAAATACTATTTTGTTGCTAAGAAAATTAGCAACATCTTTACTTCTGCATGGTATCATTTTTAAAGAGCCTCTTTTTTAGACCTCTGATTCCACCCTGAAGAATAACCAACATAATATTGTAAGCATTTACTTCTCCTCTAAGCATTCTTAGATTATTTGTCTCCTGTTAGTAAGCTTTGTATTAGTAGATGCCTGTTTCTCTTAAATTGAGCTAGACACTGAGCTTGTTCTAGTTTTAGCCCTGAAGCACAAGAGTCCAGCACAGTTAGCCATTCTCTTGCTCTGACACATTACTAAAGTAGAGCAAGAAAATCATAATTATGTCCAAAACTGTGCTGTCCTCTGCACCTCCAGGACAGAAGCTGATGTAGGAAGATTCTTATATATTTAATATCAAGTGGACATAGTATAAAGGTGAGTTTTAATGTAAAGGATAATAAACAGGCTAAGTGTCTGTCACTTTACATAACTTTTTGGCTGCTTATATATGTCATATATAAGGAATGTATTAAATAAACTAGGACATTTCACTGTTTTATTCTTTAATCATGATTTTTTTATTATATCATAAATATTATGTAGCATAAACACATGTCTCTATGTATTATTTTGCCTCAATCATTTCTCAGCATAATGTATGTATTGTGCAAACAACCATCACGACAAAGACACCTGAACAGATGGCTCTGGAAATCAAATTACATTCTATAAAGTCTATAATCACTTTGCAAATCATGTGTCAGTGGATAGCCTGTCTGTTACGAAGGCCTTAATAGGATCCAATTACTGCTCACCAGATTTCCATCAAAACAAGTCTCGACATGACTATAAAGTGCATTTAGCTCTCAGGGCATTCCATGGAAAAAAAGTTTTCTTCTGACACCATCTGTGTGTCTAGCAGGGTGTGAGAAGTACAGCTGAGACGTGTAGAATGGCTGACATGGAAGGATAGAGGATGCTTTTGTCTCCTTTTTGCCCAGATATTCATAGTTGCTCAGTAATGATCCATAGCTAATTATCATATACATTACATTTCCTTTAATAAAAATATTAATATTAACAATTTGATGCTTGTATACTATTTAATTATGTATGATGTAATTTAGATTTTTGTTTTTTATGATATCTCCAGAGTGATAGCACCCATAGCCATTGCCTTTAAAATATGAAAATTTTACAAGTCAAAAAATTAAAATAACAAAAAATAGAAGTACACACTAAACTTGGGCCTTACCGCCACTGCCTCCAGGATCTGCTTGATGACATGAGCAGCGTCTCGCTCACTGTAGTAGCCCCTCTCCACAATCCTGAAATGATAAAACATTCAGCTAATGAGTTTGAAGTGACACAAACTGTTTCACAAAATGTTTTCATGCATTCAGCCTTTGCATGATCATGAATAATTCAGCCATAAGTCGCTATAAAAAATGCTAAGAATAGTACATGATTGTGTTCCAAAAGTATTAAAAATCAACTAGCAATACTGTTGGCTGATTCTAATCTATGATTTAAAATAGGAATGTAACCAAATACAAATACATTATTCAGAAAGAACAGATAATGTGTTCTAAACAGACACAAATAGAAAGTGCACAATTTTTTTGAAAGCTTGCTGAAAAGGTTCTCAAGGCATCTGGTCGAATGTAAATCTGGTTGTGCATCATGACCGGAATCCGTCAGGACACAACAAAAAAGTTGTGGGACTTTTATGCAGGTGTGAGTGAGCAGTCAAATACGAAGCTTGTGGGGCAAAGAAAGACCATTAACGTGAACATAGTGTTCATTTATTTATCCTTAGTAACTGCCTGGTCAGGGCTGCAGTGGTTTAAATTAAGGTACTAGTTTGTTTATATTTTGGGAATCCTGTACATCTCTAGTTGAGACTAATTATGAACTTGAGTGATGTAGCTGAGGTTGAGGAACTGTCAAAGCCAGAATTCAGATGATGTTGACAGTGCTGGCATTTCTACCTCTGGGTTTTTTTCACAGTGGCTTCCAGTGTTTAGACCACGTCCACTTTGGGTTTAAAACCAAATACAGATACAGCTATGTATATTTGGAGCACTAAACAGAAACAGATACAAATAGTGGCATTGCGTTACATCACTAATTTAAAAGCGTACGTGTCACTGTCTTTTTTCCCATCGAAAGCTGTTAGCCAAGAATAGTTAAAGCACAGCAGAGAAATAAGGCCCACTGTGTAGCCTTATATATATGTGTAAACGTGGAAGTGGAAGTATACACGGTACTTTCACTACCTAGGCTGTTTTTTTAATCTGTTGAGCTTTTGCTGTTCTTCTGTCTACATTGAAAGAAACAGGAAAGCTCAAACAACCTATCCACGCAGGTGAACTCAGTCTGCAGAGAAAATATATACTGATTAGTCAAAAAGTTATATTAGGAAATGAAAAGAATGGATGACCTTTAGCAATGTATTATCCTAAATTAGGTTTTAACCACTGCAGCTGAAAAAACTTCGCTTTGCTGCACTTAAACAGAAAAAGAATTCACCCTATCAAGAGAATTCTCTGAACTGTTAATGGAATGAAAGACCTTTGCGTCTACTTCTCTATGCTCTGATGCCAGTAATCCCCTGGCAAACGCATATGCTGTTTCCTTTAAAGTTTTTTAATAAGGACAGGGTTTTAAATAGACTTTCAGTGAAAGCACACCTGTCAAAAAGTTCCCCGCCAGTGACAAGCTCTAGGATTAGAGAGATCTCTGTTTCCATCTCGAAGATCTCTTTCAGGCGAATCTATAAGCCACACAGAGAGAAACAATGGGGAGAAATTATGCTGCAAATTATGTTGCATGTGGAAAAGAATGTAGTACTGGTGTGGCAAAATCCTGTACAAATAAAATCATGCAAGCTAATATTACTCAGAAATGTACAGTATAGCCAATAACTCTTTCCACTGACTCTTATAGCAGAAGAGAAAAATGCCCAAGTTCTTACAATGTTTGGATGGGAAAGACGCAGTAGAACCCCAATTTCTGTTCTTACAATTTTCTTGTCGATCTGCAACAATATGAAAGTGCTAAATTGTATAAAATATTGTTCTTGAGCTTATAACTAATCTTTAACTTTCTACTAAAACAGCAAGCTGACTTACAGTCTTCTTCAGGACCTTGGCTGCATAAGGCTTCTCTGTTTGCTTCTCTTCACAGCGATACACAACTGATGTAGCCCCTCTAGAGAAAAACCAAAGGAAAAATCAATGAAGTCATCAATGTTAAATAGACGATGCTCAGAGCCAGAGTCAAGACGGAGATGCAATTCATAATCTTGGAAACTGGGGTAGCACAAATGTGCAACTGATGAGGAATCAGTGGGGTATTGTATTTGATATCATGCCACCAAGTAAGAGCTTTGATTTGAGTCACCATACAGCTGTCCAGCCCAATCCTGCTCAAGCTGTGAGTGTCCTTCTTCCAAACTGGTGGCCTACTTCTAAATTCTGAAACTCTATCAGAAGATATGTGAAGCCGCAATAAGAAGCAGAGTGGCAGTTCAATATTTTTATACATTCATTTATTCATGCTTCTTCGGTAACTGCTTTATCTTGAATCTGGAGCTTATTCCTGGCGGAAGGTGGGAAGACACCATGGATGGGATGCCATATGTGTGTGTGCAGGGCACCATGCACACACACTTTCACGCACTAAACCACAGCTTTCATGTAGCCAATCCAAGTTTTTGGGAGGTAGGAGGAAACCAGAGAACATAAAGGAAAGCCACACAGGCAATAACCCAAGTTCAAGATCAAACCAGAGACCCTGGAGCTGTGAGACAGCAACACTACCTACTGCGTCAACACTAGTACTTAGTATATTTAGATTGTCTAGTTAGTACATATATGATGAGAAATTAATATATTACATAATCCTATCCTGTATCAATTATCCAATAAATAAATTGCAAGGTTATAATTGTAAGCCTAACCCATGTTTCTTCCAGTTTCTTAGATTAGATCCAACACCAAGCAGTGTTGTTTTTTTTTTTTTTCACCAAAAGGAAGCTGGAATTCACACATCACCTGGTATGTGAGTGGAGGTGCTAGAGGGCTTTCTTGGGTTCTGTGAAATCGTTAACACTTAATTGTCAGTGGATGACTGCTTGAGATCACAAGGCTGAACACACAGGGAGCCTGAGCGCCACTCCATCTGGTGACTTGTGATTAAACACATCGGCTTCAAGAAAGCTGATCTTAAATGTCATTAGGCACTGAGAACAAAGCATCAACTCCACACTCAAAAGGGCATATGTGTGTGTGTGTGTGTGTGTGTGTGTGTCAGGTGTCTGGGGTCAGAGGTCAGAGGTCATCACACTGTATGAATGCAGAGAGCTGGGCCACATCACCTGATTTCCCCCTCTTCATCCTCCTCCTCATACTCTTCCTCCTCTTAATCCACCCATCTATTTCTGTTTTTCCTTCTTAAATCACAGGCTGCCCTTAATATCATGTAATTTGTACAACATCCAGCTTTCCACCAACAAAAAAGTCTGTGCAAAATATCCTGTCTCCTCTTGGACCACTAACCAAAGTAACATTTGCAACAATCTGGAATCATAAACGTCTACAAGCTGAGATAATGATTCCATCTCACATGACCCAATTACAGCTATTACAGCTAGAACCAGACATCTTTACTA